TGCCGCAGGCGGCAGGAGCGCCGGCGTGTTGTCGTTCTCGTCCAGCACGAACACCTGCAGCGTCACGTTGCTGACCAGAGGCGGGAAGCCCGCGTCGCGCGCGCTCACCTGGAACTGCAGCAGCTCCAGCTCTTCGTGGTCCAGCGGCTGTAGCGCGTACACCTTGCCGCTCTCGGCGTGCACCGACACGTAGCTCGACAGCGCGCGCTCGCCCACCCGCCGCTCCACCAGCGAGTAGGACACCAGCGCGTTCTCCTTAGCGTCCGCGTCGTGCGCGGACACCGTGAAGATGTGGCAGCCCGGCGGGTTGTTCTCCTTCACCAACACAGTGTACTCGGGCTGCTCGAACGCGGGCACGTTGTCATTCACGTCGGCCACCTCCACGGACACGCTGGCTGTGGCAGACAGAGAAGGAGAGCCCCCGTCCCGCGCCGTCACCGCCAGCTCATAGGCCGACACTTTTTCGCGGTCCAGGGTGCCTTCAAGCACTAGTGAGTAGTAATTCTTAAAAGTAGACAACAGTTTGAAGGGGACACGGGGCGTCAGGGTGCAGGTCACCTGCCCGTTGACACCTGAGTCACGGTCGGATACGCTGATTAGGGCGATGACGGTGCCCTCCTGAGCATCCTCTCTGACCGGGAGAGACAAAGAATTGACAGCCACCACAGGTGGATTATCGTTTTCGTCCAGGATTTCCACTAGGACGGTGCAGTGACCAATCATAGGTGGGGTTCCTTTATCTGTTACATCTACATGAATTTCATAAGTATTACTATCCTCAAAGTCAATACCGTCATGTACTCTTATTTCTCCCGTTGTTTCATTAATTAGAAATTTCCTTCTTATACTGGATGGGACCAAAGTGCTAAATGAATATATCATTTCTTTGTTTATTCCTTCATCCGCATCAGAAGCGTTTAGCCTTATTACTAACGTTTGGTTTGCTGGATTTTCATACATCCTAACTTCATAAACAGGTCGATCGAATATAGGGGCATTATCATTGGCATCCAACACCAGGATCAGCAGAGAAATAGATCCAGTGAGTTCAGGTTTGCCTCCGTCAGTTGCGGTTAGTAATAATTTAACCTGAGGATTTTCTTCGCGGTCCAGCAGTTTTCGCAGAACTAGTGCTGGGAATTTGCCTTTGTCCTTTTTGTTTATAATATCAAGAATGAAAAACTCATTTGGACTGAGTTTGTAAGTAAGCATTGCGTTCTCTCCAGCATCAGCATCAGATGCGCCTTCTAGCGGAAATCGGGAGTCAAGCAGTCGAGATTCGTGTATTGAGAGCTTTTGTTCTATTACAGAGAACACCGGCGGGTTGTCGTTAATGTCCCTCACCTCCACCTCCACATGGAAAACCTGCAGCGGCTTTTCCACGATCACCTCCAGGTGGATGCTGCACACCGCGCTCCGCCCGCACAGCTCTTCGCGGTCGATCCGAGAATTCACAAACAAAATGCCGTTCTGCAGATTCACCTCCAGAAGGTCCGCGCAGTCTTTGGACACCACCCGGAACAGGCGCGGCACCAACTCCGCTAGCTCTAGGCCCAGGTCCTGCGCAATGCGGCCCACGAAAGTGCCATGTTTTGCCTCTTCCGGGACCGAGTAGTGAACCTGGCCGCGCCCCGCCTCCCATATTCTGAGGAGCAGAAGCGACAGCAGCAGACGCTGGGCTCCCTGACAGCTAGGCCTGAAAACCAACATCGTACCTTTCTCCTGTTATACAAATCGATGAGTCAGCTGTCTTGAGGAGCACACAACCTTCGAAATTTCCTATTCGATTTCTTACATCCAATCTTCTTGAAACGCTGAGATCTCAGAATGTACTCCTTGAGAAACAGTGATTTACGCCTTTGTTCTAAATAATCATTTTGTGGAAGACAGCGACATCCGGTGGCTTAACGTGTAAGTACAATTCGGTGAGTTTAACAACTTTTGTTTCATATTTTTTACATTTATATTTGCGTATTTTTATTTCTGTGATCTTTTAAGGGTTCATATTGTACCATTTTGAATGGAAAAATAAATGTTGAACCTAAGTCCGAAGTTTTCTTGAAACAGAATCTCACAGAACTATTACCCTCCCTAACCACATGCTTATCATTAGCTGAATTTCAAAATGTCTTTAATAGCTGTATAATACTGACTGTACTAGTTTTTTGTTGGATGACAAGTTTAGGTCTCTTTAAGTTATATCACATTTCAATTCTCTTTGTCATTATTTTGAGATTCAACACCGTATTTAGACACTAATCTCAAGACACCAATTCTCTGTAAGATGTTCACAACTCCTAAGTTTTGGACATCATTAGACTGTAGGCTTCAACATCAGACATTTCTCCATACTGATTACTATTGTCCAACTTACAGCCATGTGATTAAGAAAATCATTTAACATCTGTCTCAGTTTCCACTTCCATAACATTGGTATAGTAATTATGGCATATTAAGAGACCAGGATAGTACCTTGAAAATGAATGCTTTGCAAATGGTAAGTACTCTGAGGCCTCCACTTGACCACATTTATGTTTTCATGATGGTCAAGATCAAAATTGGCTCTTCGGGAAAATGGTTACCTATAAAAATGTTGTCATTCTACAATGCTTTATTATTGCTATTGCATAGGCTGAGGGTTTGTATCTCCTGTCTTTAAGAAAGCAGAAAAATTATTTTATTGAAAAATCAGTCATATATAAAGAAGTTTCATTTTATGATATACAGCTTACATGGATAAAAAATCTTAATTATGATTCTAAATAAAATAACTTACAAATTTATATTTTCTACTTTCAGAGACAGCTGCTTTCATCTTTGTTACTATTTAAGCTTTCCAAATACCCAAAAGATACAGTTCAGGAATTTATCTAATAGTTTATCAATACCAGTAAAGTTTTTTTTTTTATCACTGCCTGCAATAAAAATATTTTTCACTCAAAGGTTCTTGGAATAAAGCATCCAGTAACTAAAATTCTCCATTAATATCTATGCTACTGAAAAAATTTCAGGTTTCTGGAGAAAAATGTAGAACAAACTTCTAACTCAAAAAAAGACCAGACTTACTGTCCTGAAAGAGACTGGAGAAACCCCAAGAGCATGGCCCAGACACCCTTTTAGCTTAGTAATGAAGTCACTCCTGAGATTGACCTTTTGGTCAAAGATAAGACAGGCCCATAGGACAAAAAGAGACTAAAGGGGCACACCAGCCCAGGGGCAAGGATTAGAAGGCAGGAGGGGGCAGGAAAGCTGATAACAGGGAACTCAGGATCGAGAAGGGAGAGTACTGACATATCATGGGGTTGTTAACCAATGTCATAAAACAATATGTGTACTAACAGTTTAATGAGAAGCTAGCTTTTTTAAACCTTCATCTAAAGTACAATAATTTTTTTTTTAAAACTTCACGTTTCTCCTTTTCAAAAAAAAAAAAGGAAATTTAATAATAGGACCTTTGGCCTTATCCAGAGGTTAACTTCTTTAATTTATTTTATTATTTTAAAAGATAATTTTAAAGAAATCAATAATTTTGAACTCTTTTAGTTGTCATTAAGAGTTTGTCGCTCTATTAAGAGCAACAAGGTGTTCACAGCTCTTCTGAGAATTTGTATATGATGACAGCCCACGTTCTGGGAGAGAATAAAGATTAATATAAAGGACTAAATTACCAATTATGTCAACTCCAGCCATCAATAATCCAGCCACCTATATATTTTATAATTATGGAAGACAGAGTAAGTACTCAATAAATGATACTAGCTCTAAGAGACTAGGGAAGTTGTTTTGGGGGCAAATCAACATTTCAATTCATGTTACATCATCATATACATGAGCCCAAGTTCATCTGGCATATGGAACCTGAAAAAAAGTACAAGGCCAGAGATATTTGACGGTATAATTCTGGATTCTGGATTTAAGTTGAGTTGTTAGTTGACAAATCTACAAAGGTTTGGCTATAGAAGCTCAGAGAGTCTTGAAACAAGTAGAAAAAATAGATTGCTTTGTAGTGTATTGCAAACATGTGTTCTATAGGTGAAAAGAAAAATTCTGAAATATTTTATTTCAAATGAATTTTACCTGCATTTTCATGGTTATATTCTGGCTCTATTCTCAAGGTCACTCTGATTTTGCTTCACTAAATTTTTAATTAAAGAATACTGTGTAAAATATCTGACACAACATAACATAGCTGAAAGAGAAAAAGAAATATAAACCACATAAAAAAAAACTCATCAGAAGCTTTTAAAAAATAAATTAGAAAATAAAAAGATAGGTTGCGCTAAATGTAGAATGTAGAGAACCACCAATTTGAAAATCGTAAACTACAGTCCAGGATATATAATTGTAACATGTAGCAACTACAAGTGCACCATCTCTTCTACAGAGCTCTGTCTTTTGGACTACTGAGAGAAGAAGAAAATCCTCATCTAAACTGGTGGAAGTATTTTTTCTTTTTTTTAATTCCAGAACAGGAATTTCAAGAGAAGTCATAGTGTGCAGTGTAGGTATATCTTTGTATGCCTTGGCATTTTATCACTAAACTGAGGAATTTTCAGTAAAAAAAGAGAAGGTCTTCTGGAGGAAAGAAAGTATCTGTCAGGAAGTATTTTTTCCAATATCAGATAAAACTTTTCAAGAAACATTTCAGGTGTACAAAAATCTTCAATCAACATATTCTTATGGTCTACATTGTCAGATAATTAGGCACATATTTTATACAAGTTGAAATTACTGTATTTGTAACATTTATGGTCAGAATTAGCTTCCTAAAGTAGAGCAACTCTTTTCTAGGGTTTGTTGGAAGTTACTTGTTGAAGTATTAGATAGATATTGAACAGTGCTGAACAACCATGTGCACACAGTTTCTGCCCAGGGGAAAATAGAAACTAACAAGTAAACAAGGTAAGAATTACTATTTATTTCTCCCATGGTGTTTCTTATAAAAATATAATTAGATTAAAATGCTACGTGGGATTTAGAAATGAATAAAATATGGAGTGGTGTTAAAGTATACTTAATGTGTAACAACTGAACTGGTTTTAACACCTAATACTTTTCAGTTGCTATGGAGGCTCTGGTCAGTCATTCAATGCGACTCGCATAACAGATACTAAATAAAATTGACTCCACACCCAATACCCATCTGTTGCATGCACAATTCAGAATGGGTCTCAAACGGAGAGTCAAAACACACAAACCTCTAAAGTTCAAGTATCGGATGTTCTGTGATTAAAAGAGAAAGATCTGGGAGAGATTCAGAATAAACAGAGTATTTAATTTTACAGTGTGAAGTCATTTTTTTTTAATGTCAACACTAAAATAAATGAATAAATAAAATACTAGAGCAACCTACCTTCCCTGAAGAGTCCGTAGAAGTATGTGCATCTCCCATTTCATCTGCAGATCCAGGACAGGGCGGAAGGCTGGGGCTGAAGGCCATAAGGTCGGTCTTGGGCGGCCCCTCCCCAGAGCACACTCTCTGCCGCCTCTGCTGCGAGTAGGACCAGCTCCCCACAGCGCTGGAGCACACCAGCTTGGGCATCCCCTGCCCGCACTCGCCTTCTGTGGGCGGTGCCGAGCACCGCAGCGCCGTATACAGCAGTAGCGTGAGCACCAGCAGGCTGGACACCGCACAGATGGCGATGATCAGGTACACGTTGATATCCACCAGCGCCACCTCCTGGCCCGTGGAGCCCGACGATGCCCGCGACGACGTCTTCAGCGCCTGGCCACTCTCCACCAGCGACACCAGCACAGTGGCCGTGGCAGCCAGCGGCGGCTCCCCGTGGTCCTTCACCAGCACCAGCAGGCGCTGGCGGGGTGCGTCTGCCTCGTCCAGGGCGCGCGACGTGCTCACCTCGCCAGTGTACAGACCCACGCGGAACGGGCTGCGCGTACTGTCCACTGCTGGTTGCAGCTCGTATGACAGCCACGCGTTGTAGCCGGAGTCCGCGTCCACCGCGCGCACCTTCGCTACCACGTGGCCCGCACCGGCTGACCGCGGCACCAGCTCGCTCATCGCGCCTCTCACGCCGCCTGACCCAGGCGGCAGGAGCGCCGGTGCGTTGTCGTTCTCGTCCAGCACGAACACCTGCAGTGTCACGTTGCTGCCCAGAGGCGGGAAGCCCGCGTCGCGCGCGCTCACCTGGAACTGCAGCAGCTCCAGCTCTTCGTGGTCCAGCGGCTGCAGCGCGTACACTTTGCCGCTCTCGGCGTGCACCGACACGTAGCTCGACAGCGCACGCTCGCCCACCCGCCGCTCCACCAGAGAGTAGGACACCAGCGCGTTCTCCTGCGCGTCCGCGTCGTGTGCCGACACCGTGAAAATGTGGCAACCTGGCTGGTTGTTCTCCTTCACGAACACCGTGTATTCGGGCTGTGCAAACGTGGGAGCGTTGTCGTTCATGTCGGCCACCTCCACGAACACGCTGGCCGCGGCCGACAGAGAAGGAGAGCCCCCGTCCCGCGCCGTCACCACCAGCATATAGTCAGACACGCTCTCGCGATCCAGGGCGCCATCCAGCACCAATGAATAGTAATTCTTGAAGGTGGATACCAGCTTGAAAGGGACACGGGGTGTCAGGGAACAGGTCGCCTGCCCATTTACACCTTCGTCTTCGTCAGTCACGCTGATTAGGGCGATGACAGTGCCTGGCTGTGCGTTCTCTTTAACAGGGAGCCAGAGCGTTTTGACAGTCAACTCTGGAGCATTGTCATTAGCATCTACAATATTTACCAGAACTGTACAATGACCAGCCAGTGGTATATGGCCTTTGTCAATAGCCTCTATTCGGATTTTATAGGCTTTACTTTCTTCAAAATCAATATGTCCTGTTGCTGTAAGTTCCCCACTTATGGGGTCTATGTGAAATTTATGTTTTACGGTTAGAGGAACATCATTAGTGAATGAATATACTATATCTCCATTCGAGCCTTCGTCTAAATCTGAGGCGTTCAGTTTAATTACCAATGTTCCGTTAGGAACATTTTCTGGTAATTTGACTTTATAGAGTGTTTTGTCAAAAGTCGGGGCGTTGTCATTGGCGTCAAGCACCGTGATAAGTAACTGAACACTTCCAGTCAGCTCGGGCTTCCCGCCATCAGTGGCTATGAGAAATAAGTGAAGCTCCGGAGATTCTTCCCTGTCTAAAAGCTTCTTTAATACAAGTCCAAGAGGTTTTGCCTCTTCGTCATTGACTGGGACGTCCAGTGAGAAATGTTCATTGAGGCTCAGTCTGTAAGTCAGCAGAGCGTTGGCCCCGATATCTGAATCGGACGCGCCCTCTAGCGAAAAATGAGAGTCAAGCAGCCTGGATTCCGGGATGAACAGAGTCTTTTGTGTCGCCGGAAACACAGGCGGGTTGTCGTTAATGTCCTTCACCTCCACCTCTGCATGGAAAACCTGCAGCGGCTTGTCCACGATCACCTCCAGGTGGATGCTGCACACCGCGCTCCGTCCGCACAGCTCTTCGCGGTCGATCCGAGAATTCACAAACAAAATGCCGTTCTGCAGATTCACCTCCAGAAGGTCCGCGCGGCCTCTGGAATCCAACTGGAAAAGACGCGGCACCAGTTCCGCCAGCTCCAGGCCCAGGTCCTGCGCGATGCGGCCCACGAAGGTGCCGTGTTTGGCCTCCTCGGCGACTGAGTAGCGGACCTGGCCTCTCGCTGGCTTCCAGGAGGCGAGGAGCAGAAGCAAAAGCAGCAGATACCTGGCCCCTGGGTCGCCTCGACTTGAGTACATTTCAAATACTCAAGCTTTTTTCTAATTAGCAAAAATTGTCTCAAAATTAAGAGTTTTCTAATCGCTTCAGTCCAGTCCTGGTGTGTTCGCCATCGCTCAGCACCCGCAGAGAGAAAAAGAGTGGAGCCTCTTTTCAGTGGGAAAATGGATGGCTTTATTTGTCTCGAATCAGAGAGAAATTCGTGGCGGAGAGTGACATCACGTGGCCCAAAGAGTAAGTACAAATTCCATGAATAAATATTCTAGCAACATCCTACTTCCTTTTATTTCGTCATCTGACTTTTTCTTAATTAATTGTTTATTTTTTAAATAGAGGACTACATTTCTCACGTTTGCTGGAGGCATTCGTAGGGAATACACTGCCTCTGAAAGTTTAGTCAGGCTAATTATGTTTTCTTATGCCTAGAAAACTTGCCAATTTTAAAATAGTGACAGAAATGAAGTGATAATAAAAGTGATTAAACAACTATGAATTTTAAATTGGAAAATTCTTTTGCTCTGGAATGCAGGTGCCCCCGTATTCCTAGATTCAGCATTTTGGTGTAAGAGATCTCCATGATTCAGTATCCCTAGGCCCTCTAGAATCCCAGAAATTTACTGGCAAAAGAGAAACATTCTCATGTCTGAAAACAGGACACAACGAAAATGAGGAAGTAGTATTTTTCTTAAATAATTTTAGAAATTGAAGATATGTTAAATATCTTAAGAAAGATAGGAATCTGCTTTAAGGTATTGTGTGGGAACAAATATTCTATACTTTTTATCTTTATTGGAGTTTATATAACCTGTTTCAAGAACTGTGTTGAGTTCCTTTACAGCTATATGCTTTCTAAGTCCTATCATTTATGAGAATTTGTCTCTTCTTTACACTCCCCAATACAGTTTATACTATGGCTTTGCATAATACGTTTCTATTTCATTATTGTTCATTCTTAGTACTTAGGGAAATTTCTTTTTTAAAAGTTACACTTGAGGTTATTTTTCTTCCTAGTGTTCTACTTAACAAGGAAAGCGCTCTTGTGAGCTCTTCTCACATAGTCCAAAGTTGCATCTTGATTTTAGTGCTTCCCAAGTCTAAAGCCAAAATTATCACAGTTACCTGAGCCATCGATGTTTTTGCATATCTATCTTTTCTTTCATATTCTTACTGCTACCAACCTAAGAGGAGCTTTTAACTAAATAATCAAAGATATTACTTAACTAATATCCTTGAAGTATCCTTGATTATTTTAGTACCTTCCTAGTTTATCTCCTTATCCACCCTAACCTTGTTAGCCCCTTGAAACACCGTCCTGAACCATGGTGTTGATTTCTTTCATTCAAAATCTTTGGATAGCTACTGATTTACTTTTGAAGAGAGTCTGAATTCCTTAGTCTAATTCTCAAAGATTTATTGTGTACTTAATTTTAAGAAAGAGAAAACACTATTGATGCAAAAGAACACAAAGATTTCAAACACCTACTCAGGACTCAGAAACACTGGTGACATAGTAGTTAAGAGCTACAGCTGTTAACCAAAATGTCAGAAGTTCATATCCACCAGGCGCTCATTGGAAACCCTACGGGGCACTTCTACTCTGTCCTACTCTGTCTTATAGGGTCGCTATGAGTCGGAATCAACTCGATGGCAACAGGTTTGGTTTTCTTTACTCAGGTCTCTGAAAGATCTGAGAGAAGCTTAAATATGGTCAAAAACAATCACTGTCAACATAAAGTAATCTATGTTTTCCCTGAGGAGCATTTAAATAACATTCCTAGACCCAAAAATTGTTTACACATCTGTGCTGCTAATTTCACTTACCATCTGAAAAACTGACTTTTAGATCTTTTTTTTTTTTTTCATTCTATCACACAGCATTCAAAATATTGAGACTGCCTGGGTTGTCGTGGTGACTTCATGAAAAATCATTTTTACATAAAATAAGATTGATATGAATGGCTATAATGATGGCTTTCTGACATTTTAAGTTTTCTTTTTCCAGTCATTAACTTCTTTTCCTCTTGGGAGTAATAATAAATATTACGCAGTTACCATTAACCAGACTCAGTTATAAGCAGTTTACAAATATTAACTTACCTGATACAAAAATTCTATCCAGTAGGTGTTACTATTACCATGCATAATTGTGAAATCAGGTGTTAAAATAACAAATGTCCTACTGAAGGGTGGGATTTGAATCCAGGGAGCATCAGAACCCACAGTACTTAATAACTAAGCTCTGATACCCTTCATTTTAAAGGAGTAGTTGGTAGATAAAAGCATTACCCTAGAGGGAATAGCGATAAGTATTAATATCCAAGACACAGTGTGAAAAGCACACCCCCAAAATGAAATTTAAATATCAATTAGAGAGTTGGAGAACCATAGAACTGACATGAAGTGAAGGGAGTTGTCAAATACAGTGGTAAGTGGTTGAAAGGACCCTTATTTATACTTATGGTATTTTGTAAAAACCAACTAAACATTTAGGAGGCGGATTCAGCAAATTTATACCTGAGAATTAGACAAAATAGAAAATGTAAGAGTAAGATCACTTTCAAAAAGGAAAAATACTTCATTCTATTAAATCAGTACAATAAACACAAGCATATAAAAAACACAAAGCCCTTAAAGTTGAGGACTATAATTTAAAAGATTCTTTTTATGTAACATGTTTTTACCAGTCAAAATGTTAGGCACTGACAAGCACTGAAAGAAATGTAAAACCAACCACAAAATCATACTGCTTTCAAATTACTGAGAGTCGGGAAAGGGGAATAAAAGATTACACTATTGCTACATAAAAGGATAAATTAAGAAATATATTAATAACAAAAACCAGTCGCCATTAAGCCATTACTGACTAATGGTGAGACCATAAGTGTCAGAATGAAACTGTGCTTCATAGGGTTTTAAATAGATAATTTTTCACAGTTTAACTCTACAATACTAAAGCTTCTTTCTTGACAGTGAGTCCTGATCGTCTTGAATATTCTGTGTAATAATGGTTTATAAGTTTTGGTCAGCAAAGTTGGGATTAATTCATAGGTACTCTTTTCTGACCAAAATGTTTATCTTTTAAGTCATATAAAAATGCAAATTAACTGTTAAATATTTTTCAGTAATTTTCCAACTTAGTAACAAAGAACTGATAGTAACTGACTCAATACTGATAGAGTTTAGCAGGTGTTTTTCAGACTAAAAACAATTATTTACTATACAGAGATCCTCAAAAAATATTTTAAATTGTTGACATGACTATAAAAATTTATCTGACAGTAAAAGCATATCTTAAAATAGTAAAATTCATAAATGACATCATATTGGGAAAGCATCAACAACTTGAAAAGGAAGAAATTACTATTTAGTACTTTATCATTAAACCACTTAAAATAGCATTATATGAACACTACAGACACTTATAACTACTAGACACTAAAAAGAATGGAGAAAATAGGATGGATGGACTGAGAGTAAAAAATACAAGTAATCATAAGAAAATATATAAAATGGAAAATAATTGAAGTAAGAAAGCACTGGTGGCTACTGGCTAAGAGCTCGGCTTCTAACCTAAAGGTCAACAGTTCGAATTCACCAGCTGCTCCTTGGAAACCATATGGGACAGTTCTACTCGTCCTATAGAGGGTCGCTATGAGTCCGCATCGACTCGACGGCAACGGGTTTGTTTGTTTGTTTTAATCAATAGTCAGCAAAAAGGAAACTTTTCCAAGTAAATTTGAGTTTGACTGGAAACTCAAGTTGTAATGTATGCTTACCAATATCTGATTGCACTGAGAACTAATTACTATTTTAAAATATTTTTTAAAAAATGCAATAATGTTTGAACCGAGAACGACTGCAAAATTATGGCAAACAGAACAAAAAATGTGAAATACGTTGGAAATAATTATAAAACTTCCAACTAAAGAATTTTTAATTGCAAAATATGAGTTGACTTACGTTGGCGTTTAAATCCTGCTGTTCGCTTACATCCTTTGACGCTGGACACGGTGGGAGGCTGGGGCTGAAGGCCATGAGGTCGGTCTTGGGCGGCCCCTCTCCAGAGCACACCCTCTGCCGCCTCTGCTGCGAGTACGACCAGCTCTCCACCGCGCTAGAGCACACCAGCGTGGGCTTCCCCGGCCCGCACGCGCCCTCTGTGGGTGGTGCCGAGCACCGCAGCGCCGTGTACAGCAGCAGCGTGAGCACCAGCAGGCTGGACACTGCGCAGATGGCGATGATCAGGTACACGTTGACATCCACCAGCGCCGCCTCAGGCCGCCCAGAGACCGCCGACGCCCGCGACGATGGCTTCAACGCCTGGCCGCTCTCCACCAGCGACACCAGAACAGTGGCCGTGGCCACCAGCGGCGGTTCCCCGTGGTCCTTCACCAGCACCAGCAGGCGCTGGCGCGGCGCGTCCGCCTCGTCCAGGGCGCGCGTCGTGCTCACCTCGCCCGTGTACAGACCCACGCGGAACGGACTGCGCGCGCCGCCCACCGCTGGCTGCAGCTCGTATGACAACCACGCGTTGTAGCCCGAGTCGGCGTCCACCGCTCGCACCTTCGCCACCACATGGCCAGCGCCCACAGACCGCGGCACCAGCTCGCTCTCTGCGCTCCTTGGGCCGCCTGACCCAGGCGGCAGCAGCGCCGGCGCGTTGTCGTTCTCATCCAGCACGAACACCTGCAGCGTCACGTTGCTGCCCAGAGGGGGGAAGCCCGCGTCGCGCGCGCTCACCTGGAACTGCAGCAGCTCCAGCTCCTCGTGGTCCAGCGGCTGCAGTGCGTACACCTTGCCGCTCTCGGTGTGCACCGACACGTAGCTCGACAGCGCGCGCTCGCCCACCCGCCGCTCCACTAGCGAGTAGGACACCAGCGCGTTCTCCTGAGTGTCCGCGTCGCGCGCTGACACCGTGAAGATGTGGCTGCCCGGCGGGTTGTTCTCCTTCACGAACACCGTGTACTCCGGCTGCGCAAACGCCGGCGCGTTGTCGTTCACGTCGGCCACCTCCACGGATATG